GCAAAATAATCATCTTAAAATTATGGGTACGCATGTCAATATATAAAGTTTCAGGGCCTTTTATCGTCAAATTTCAAATTATTTAGCCATATATAAGTGTCGGTCTCACCTATCATTTTCTCATTTTAAGCCCCCATGTCTCTCTTTCTCTATCTTCAATTCAAAGAGTAACAGGAGGAACAGGAAAAGCTCTTCTCATCTTCTTCATCTCTCAGATCCGGCATAACAGATCGAGGTAAGCGGTCACTGATCTCATTTTTTCTTCAAATTCTCATTTTCTCTTTAAATTCTCATTTTCACGTCATTTATAGGTAAAAATCCCTTGAAACTAGGTGAAATTGGCCTACGATGTCATTTTTTGCTTCATTTTGGCTCACTTTACTTAATTTCCATGTGATTTGGCTCTCCATTTCTTTTTTCTGAGAATCTGTGCGAAAATAAGTAAAAGATGAAGTACTCTATAGTTTAGGGCTTTAGGGCTTTTCTGATGGCCTGTTTGTTAATCAGCCGATAAATATATTGGAGAATAACTCTAAAATGGTGTTTAACTCTAAAATGGTGTTTTGTTCTCTGTGAGAGTTTGGATTTTGGTTGTGAAAAAAAATTGTTGTTTGGCATTTATGCATCAAATCTCATGAAAGCCAGGGCTAAAATGCTTGGATTTTTGCTCTGCTTGATGCTACTGCTGCTCTTTCACTGCATTATTTCTTTTGTGAAGAACTATTAAATCTAGGTTTGAAATGGCATCTTATGAGGTCTATGACACCTTCTCACCTTTGACTGTTCACATGTCATTCAGCAGTTTAGCATCGCAGGCTCTTGAAAACTATAGGTCTAAAATAGTGATTTGTTCTCTCTAGGAACTCAATTTTGGATCCTTTTCTATACGAAATCTTTCATAAATGAGCTCTACAGTTGGTGTCCTGTTCTTCTTAGGGTTGGGAATTCCTTTGAAATTGTGGCTATTTTTTTATGAATCGGACTTTTCCTGCAAAATATCTCTATGACAAAGTCAAAATGGTGGTCTATGTTCCCTAAGGCTTAAATAATTGACTTGAAATTCGTGTAATTTTGTCAATGCATGCAGCTGCAAAGTATCTTGGAAAAAGAGTTCTTAAATGGGTTTCATTGCTTCTATGACTTACATTATCGATCTCTTGAGTGATGATATTTGTTCTGATTGCCTGATCTGAGAAATATCCTCATTTCTTAAATGGATTTGGTCTGAAATAGAAGGATGTCATGGCTAATATTTGGGTTTTTATGTATTTTTATCGTTGAAACATGAGATTTCAACGACTATTTTTTACTGTAACTTGAATCTTTATGTATGTTGATGCATATTGGTAAATTAAGATGAATATTCTTGTCCTATAGTTTTCCTTGAAGATTGTGTGAAAAAATCCATTTTGATAAGTATTTCGATACATTAGACATGGATAACTGGATAATCTTGTTGAAGATCGTAAATGCTCTTTATCTTTTGGAGTGTTAAAGAGATATGTACTTTGTAAATTTACTGAAACTAATGTTTTGGTCGATCTGGGTGTTCATGCGTATTTGTGCTTGAAATATATGGCACAATATTGGTGCTGGTATGATGGAATTTTCTGAATATTGGTTGTATTTGTTTCTTACACATGGTGTGGCATTAATAACTTATGCATTTGTATAACTAGTGAATGTGGCTTTGTCATCTTTTTGAAGTCTTTTGTTACATATATTGATGCATCATGCATTTAAATTGGTCATGATTTTCTCTACTTTCATGACTAGTCTTTGATTTCTTGTTACTGATTTGATGAGTTACTTCTCCATTTTGAAGGGATCTATTATTTGATATCTGCTGTGGATAGAATAACATAGCATTTTAAGTGAATTTTAGTCATGCGCCTCTATAATTGTGAATATGTGTAAAATCCTTTTTAAAACTTGTACATCCTTATGTGATTAATTCCATTTAGGCATGGTACTTTACATTCAAGCAAGCCGACCCTAATTAGTTGGGAAAAGGCTTTGATGATAATGTTAACTTTACATTCAAGCAGATTATGAATGATTGTTGTGAGTGTAGGGTGTGTTGGATTGATAGAACTTTTTGGGAGTGGGAGACCCGAGTTCCACCAAAATCTGCCTCCTGTGTTTGATCACACCCCATTGGAAGCCGCAAAGTAGAGCTTGCAGTTTCCAGCAGTGCATGAAAGAACATATTTTGATGTTGTTTCATAGAAGCCACCCCTTCCATGCTAATAAAAGCATGGAAGGGGCGGCTTTGGCAGCCCCCTCTTCCACCAATCAAACACACGTTTAGTGATACACATGTGCGTTGAATAAGTGGGCTAGAAGAAAGGGAAATGACTGATATGATTGATTGTTCTGGCATATCCTA